GTCAGATGGCACTCATATTCTGCTCCCATGTGTGAAAACCTGGCTATTTCTTTAGCAAGCAAGCAGAATATTTTCATCCTCTAAGATCATCTGAGTGACTTTGAGTCTCTGATCACTTCAGAGAAGTGACAAAATTCTCTGAAAATAATCTCAATTATAATATTTTAATTAAAAATTAAGACATCTATATGACACATAAATATGAAAATTAGTATTGGGAGGATGAGAAGAGCGTCTCTTTTATTGCTTCCCTAAGAAATTTGCAATTTTGTTTGCTCTTCCTCACTGGTTTCCACATCAAGCAAACCAGGTTTAGATTAATATTTCTTCTAAGGTATTTTGATATTGTGATTTTCTTCCCCTGAGGAGCCCCTTTATTTCTTTTTCTGCCCCCTGCTGAACATGAAAATAATAGGCAGCTCTGCTAAGATGATGAAAGCCTAGTGTACCCTCCGATGGATACTAAACAAGGTCCAGGAGGGCCTGCCCTGTGGAAGTTCAAAAACAGGGCCACAGACATGGTGCCTCCATCCAGTCTCCTCAAGGGGCAGGCCTACCCAGAACCATCCAGCTACCCTAGCACACATTGCTGGCATAATGGAACAGCTGGTTGGCACAGCAGACTGGAAAACTAGAGCAGGCTCTGCCTCCATGCTACCAAGGATGATTTGTGAGTTGAAAAGACAGAGTAAACCAAGCAGACGTGATAACTGATGTGCTCCCGGATACGTCTAAGGCTTTTCCACAGTTAGTATCAGGAAGAGTGTGCGTGCGCACACACACACACACACACACACACACACACACACAGAGACCCCACATCTCTCACCTAACATCTTCCCAAAGAGAATAATGTGCCTCATAAAATATTTAAAATATTCTATTGCCTCAGGCAATAGAATTGTCTCTTGATTTTTTAAAAAAATGTTTAACAGACAAGTGTAATTGGAAATGTTTGGAACATGAATGTGCACACACGCACACACACATACATGCTCTAATTTAGAATTATGCAAAAACTGTATTATTATTCGCTGCCACCTGAAGCAGAGCTACTGCAACAGAATACCAAGTACCACATTTGCACAAGTGTGAAGCCCCATGAAAGCCCTCATTCGGAGGAGAGTGACACACGTGGCCTGTCTCTTTAAGGTCTGTTTAGAAGGAATGGCCTGGCTTGTTTTACATTTGCTAAGCTATTTAGAGGCCTAGTTTGACAAGATTTTTGAGAGGGGTGAAAATTAATTATAATTGCAGTATTGCTGTAATAATTTGGCCGGCTAATTGCATCTCAGTGCAAAACCACGCAAGTAAGAATTCCTTCCCGGGTTGGTCTGATATGGTAGCATTCATTTTAAGAGTAATGAGAATTTTAAAAAGTCAAACTTTAAATATCATGACTTCGGCAATCTGTCCTGCTTAAAGTTTAATGCAAAATGAGATAGCACCTCCGTGAGAGGGTTCTATGTGATTGAGGAGATGGTGACTGGAGATGGGAGAATCTCTCTCTTCTAAAAACCAATCAAAGTGTTTCCTTGTAACATTATTTGAGTCTGATTTTCATTTTGGAGCATGTTCATGCTTTCCTTTTTTACTTTTTGCAGTAAAGGAAGCACTAGAAGTCTGGGGAAGAAGTTTTGAAAGTTTAGAATGGAAAGTAGTGAAATGAGGTATGCTTAGCAGAGTTGTTTCTGGGTGATGGAAACGACTAACACACCAGCTGCTAACCAAAAGGTTCGAGGTTTGAGTTAATCCAGAGGCACCTCAGAAACAAACCCTGGAAAAGCAGGGGTTTGACTTGTGAAAAATCACCCACGGAAAACTCTATGAAGCAAATCACTGGTAATAAAAGAGATGCAAATCAAAACCACAAGGAGATACCATCTCACCCCAGTAGGAGAGGCAAAGTTTAACAGGACAGCAAGTAATAAATGTTGGAGAGGCTGTGGAGAGATAGAAACTCTTATATATTGTTGGTGGGATTGTAAAATGGTACAAACACTCTGGAAAGCAGTTTGGCATTTCCTGAAAAAGCTGAATATAGAAATTCCATATCACCCTGTTATTCCACTGCTTGGAATATACCCCAAGAAAAATACAACTGAGACAGCAACAGAGATTTGTATACCAACGCACATAGCATCATTATTCACCATCGCAAGAACATGGAAACAGCCCTAATGTCCAACCATAATCGAATGGATTGCAAAATTATGATACATTCACATAAAGGAATACTGTGCAGAACTCAGGAGCAATGATTTTGAAAATTACTTTATAACTTGGGGAGGGACTGGAGAGTATTATGCTGAGTAAACTAAGTCAATCTCATAAAGACAAATACTGCGTAGGACCATTAGTGTAGAAATAGAAAGATAAATAGTAAAATGTACATGAGGATCCAAGGTGAGGAGGATAGAAGCAGAGGGGTGTGTGAGGATGGGCGGGGGGGACATCACTGCGTCACACAGCTTGGTGGGTAGAAGGGTAGGTAAGGAAATTGAGAAGATCCGGTGGAGATCTTGAAAGAGGAGGTAATAATGATGAGCATAGTTCAATGGTGATGAATTTTATAAAATGTAATGAATGGGAATGATTGTATGAAACACAATGTGAATGAAGGATAATGTGAAACACAACATATCTGAATTTATAAGGAAAACAATATAAAAGAAATTTTAAAAAATCAAACAATGTAATGCTTTGAGGGGAAAAAAACACCAGAAAACCCTCTGTGAAGTGTGTTCTACACTGATATCATGGAGTTACCATAAATTAGAATTCACTTAATGGCAATTGCTGTATGCAGATGCAACAGACAAGACAATATCAATAGCTGAAGCAAAAACAATGGTGGGAAAACCCTCAAAACAATAGGGCAGCAGACAGGTTGTCCTGGAATTTGCTGAGTATCACCTTTTTTTCTTGGAGGAGGGGGGTGTTTAGGTTTGTATTTTTTTGCATGGGCAGTTCTGAATATGTAAATGATCCATGTCCTTTGAAGAAAATTATCAACCCAGCAATGAGCACTTGGGATTCACAAACTTTTGGTGAATAGAGTCTGTTTATTGCTCCAAGTCTCACCAAAGACCAAATCATGGTGGTTGCACTGTGGGCGGCTCTTCCACAACCTGAAAGCTCAAGCTCTGGGCTGTTGTTGTTGTATGCTGTTGAACAACAGATAGAGATCCTATGAACAACAGATCTGAACCCTGTCCTAGCTTTAGGATATTCCTAGTCCCCTCTGTTGTGAGTTAAGCCCAGCCACCATTTGTGTGTCTAAAAATGTGTTTGTTATCTGTCTGAACTATCCTTCATCAATGGGATCTAGCAGCATGGAGTAAAATATTTCTTATGCTCTTCAGTTGAATTCTACCTGATTCATGGAGGGTCGGTATTCATTCATGTTCCATCAGGCCTGGTCTTAGGGCTGTTCAGGTGGTATTCAGAGTAAGGACATGGGCAGGGGGTGAAGGAGCAGAGATGTTGCCTTGCTCTACTGGTCAACCGTGACCTTTGCTCAGCCAAAGGCCAGAGGAACATATGTCTTTTTCCATTAACATTTGGGCCACGTGAGGGGTTGGCTTTTCCTTGACCTTCACTTTCCCAGAAACTGCAGGGTTAATGCTCCTCCCCTCAGCTTTACCACGATGAATGCACTGAGGAAGAAAATGGACCTATGGCAAAAATGGATCAATCATTTTAAATATATTTTCTGTTCAGTGAGAGAGGGAAATTGAAAAGAGAAAAGGGAGGGAGGGGAGGAGAGGCTAAAAAGAACAAAGAAGAGGTTGTCTTTCTACATAGTAAATTCTAGATTCATCAGCTACCTCTAGGCGCAACAGCAAAGGGGTAGAAAATCAATTTTTTTCTATTACTACACGGCGAGTAAAGAAAACCTATTTGTAAATTGAATGAAGTCCAATAATAGCATGTCACTGTATTTGTTGAGGAGTAGGAAAATTAGCCACAGGAACGACAACATAACCCAGCAATTTAACTGGAAAGCAACGTTCCCACTCCAAAGCTTAGTTGAGACATTTTTCTTTTTTTGAAAGAAGCACCCATGGTTAAATGTCAGTAAGACTCTTCGGCGTGCCAGCACAGCGAGGTCGCAGCAAGGACTCCGGATGGGAAGGGACTCCAAAGTCCCGTCTGGGAACAGGGTGCTTCCAAAAGCTTGCCTTGGCCGCTGCACATAGCTCAGTCGGTCAGTAAGGACTGGATAGATGCTAGGCCTTCCGGACAGTGATTTCTACCAAATCTGTGGCGCTGACTGCAGAGCGCACTCTATTTTTGTGCAGGCCAGGTCTTGTTCACAACAGCCCTTAACCCGTCCACGGAGTGCAGAACAATCATGCTGCCGCCGCCGGCGAGTCCTGAAATGTCATTAGCAGGCTGCCCTCTAGTGGGGCAGCACAGTACTTTACATGACTAGATGGGGCGGGGGAAATCACACAGACAGAAAAGGTGTTTTCCTTTTCATTTATAGAGCACACCAATGAAAGTTTCTCACACAGTGCAAGGTGAGGAGGTTAGCCTCAGAAGACAGCTTTTGGAGCTGACTCAAGCAAGGCTCACACCGAATAGGCCCCCCAGTTAGCGTTAAAGACAGGCGGTGCTGCACTGAACCTTCCCCACGGCCCAGGGTCCTTCCCACGTCACTGAACCATCCAAGCTCTCCTTGGGTGATAGCATTCAGTTCTCACACTCTCATTACAAAAATAAGACCCACTCGAGCAAACAACATATGAAGAATGCTAAAAAGAATAGGCTTTTTGTACATTTTTTTTTTTTTTGGCATATTGTGAGCACAGAAGAGCCTTTCAAAAGGGCCATACTGAATTTTTTAAAAGGCAAAGATGTACACATCTTATAAAAAGTCCGAGTCTTTGTGGTTGTTATTTAAAGAGACGAATCTCTTTCATGATGGTAGCTGGGTGTTGGTAAGGCAGAACATGACCTGGAGATCTGTTGATTTGGATTTTGTCTTTAAAACCTCAGAACTTGGTTTGCTTCAGTTTATCGATGTGGTAGCAGAGCTTTAGCGCAGGTCCCAGCTTCAGGCCGAGGTATTTCATGATCATGTCACTCTTCAGCAACAGTAGAGCATTGCCGTCAATCTCCTGGGGGGGCGGGGTGAGAAGAAAACCCAGCAGAAGGTTCATTAAATAGTGGCCAAAGGTAAGGTCATAGTTAAGAGTTCAGAGAGGGGCATATGTTCATTTAGGTGGCATATTCTATTGACCTCAGGGTAAAGAATCTTGGAAAAATAACCCCTCCTTAGGATCATCTGATACATTGAAATTTTCATATTCTCTCCAAGAGGGAGCTCCCCTGGCTGAAGGGGTAAGGAGTTGTGCAGCCAACCCACAGGCAAGCAGTTCTAAGCTCCTTGGGAGAAAGATGGGCCTTCTTCTGTGAGCCTCCAAAACCACACTGGAGGTTCATGTGTGAGTTGTTTCCAACTCAGCCACAATGAGCTATTGTTTGTCGTTGACACTGCCGTGACTGGAGGGAGTTCTAGGCTGTAGGAAGATGGGCTGCTAATCCCAAGATCTCTGACAGTTCAAATCCACCAATGGATTGGTGAAGGATTGGCAATCTCTTCCTGTGTGATTTACAACCTCTGAAAACACACTGGAGGGTCAACTATGCTTGGTTCTGACAGCAGTGAGTGAGTGAGTGAGTCAGTCAGTCAGTCAGTGACCAATCCTGGAAGAGGTAGAGATAACCCACCTGCTCCCAGTATCCCACATACATTCTTTTTCTTTTTCTCTCATTTAAAGCAGAGCTCAAGGAGCAAGATATATGGTCCACTGAACCCTGAAATAAATGACCATCTTTCCATTCTAACTTCTTGGATGAGGCCCTGACTTCATCTATCACCTTAATCTCTTGGTTCTTTCCTCAGTAGACCTGCCTACCTTTAGCTGATTGCCAAACTGGGTTTCAGGAGATTATTTTGTTTTGTTTCAGTCTGTCAATAATACTAGGCAGCCTACAATTCCATAATGCACATTCTTAGCCCTAGGGGTTAGCACAAAGAGCTAAGGGGATGTGCAAATCTTCCCCCCACTATTAAATGTATGTACTTAGCAAGTCTGAGTTTCCTCACTCCCTCACCTTTATGTCAATTCCAAATAATAGAGACCTTCCATTAAGTTTCCAATGCAGTGCACCTTTATGAGAGAAGTCTGCCCATCTTTCTCTCTATGGGAGGCTGGTGGTTTTGAACCATCAACCTTTCGTTCAGCAGCCCTAATAGTCCTGATGGCATAGTATGCCATCAGGACTCCTTAAGGACAAATGGTGGGAATTTGGGATGCTCATGTGGGAAGAATAGTCATAGCTGCAGGACATATCTAAGAGTTATTGTCCAACTCATTCAACTACCCACCCAGCCATCCAGTTAGTCAACTAGCCAACAACAACAGAGCACCTACTCCGTGACACTCACACTCCATGTTCTTAAAGAAATGACACGGGGTGCAAAACTTGTTTGTGGACCCTTCCCAGGAGCATAACCTCCTAAGGTCTTTGTCTTTCTCTACCTTCTAGATATCCACCATCTAGAAAGCGCATCAGACTCCTTCCACCCTAATCTATCTAAATGTAACTCAGTCTGTGTTCTTGGCCCCACTCTCAAGATTTCATAAAAAGTTGCACTGCTAAGCAAGGTCATATATATTCCTAATGAACTGTAAATGTTGGGCCAGACACACTCTAGATATGGAGAGTTTAACTTCTGTGACAGAATCACAGAATGTGAAAAACTGACAGGAAAAAGAATGGGTGCAGAATAATTTCCTCTTCTTAAAAAATGATTATGTTCTAATGCTCAGAACCCAAGGAAATGCTAAGTTGCATGTAAAAAGATAATGAAGGCTTTCTATGGAATTAAGGTAGCTTTGGTGGCTTATTGTTATTATTATGTGCCATCGAGTTGACTAAGACTCATAGCAGGCCTATGAACAATGGCTCTGAACCCTGCCCTATCCTGAGCCAGTGTGGTGCTGGAGAAGAGTATTGAGAATACCATGGACTGCTAGGAAAACAAACAAATTTGTCCTGGAAAGGGTTAAACCGGGTGGCTCCTTGGAGGCAAGGATTCTGAGGCTCCAACTAACATACTTTGGACATGTTGTGAGGAGAGACAGGTCCTTGGAGAAGGACATCATGCTTGGGAGGGTGGAGGGACAGCACAGGAGAGGAAGGCCCTCTATGAGGTGGATTGATTCAGTGACTGGGAAAATTGGGATGGGAGTGTCAGAGACAGTGCAATTGGCACAGGACAGAGCGGAGTTTAGGGCTGTTGTACAGGGTCGCTATGAGTCGCAAGCGACTCGATGGCACATAACAACAACAAACAACAACCATTGCTACAGTCACTGTTTAATCCATCTCATGCAGGGTCTTCCTCTTTCATGTTGATCCTCTACCCTTTGAAGCATGCCGCCCTTCTCTATGGACTGCCCCTCTGGCAACATGTTCAAAGTATGTGGACAGAGCTTCAAAATCCTTGCCTCCAATAGCAAATTGGTTTCACCCTCTCCTGCCAATACAAGGGTATGGAGTTTGGATCCACCAGCTGCTCTGCTCTGCGGGAGAAAGGCAAGCAGTCTCCTCCTGTGAGATTTACTGACTCTGAAAATCTGTTGGAGGGCCAGCTAAGGGTTGGCTCTGACTCAATGGTACACAACAATGTGTGAACTTAATGTTGCTAATCAGCTGAACTTAAAAATAGGTTATCATGGCTGAGCAGGGAGTATGTGTGTAAGAATATAATCAGGAGTCCTAAAAAAAAAATAAAAGAGGAAATCAGAAGCAAGGATAAGATAAATGGTCCTTTGAGAAGGACTCATCATTCTCATACCCTGAGAAGGATTGTCTGAAGATGAAGGATAGATATATCAAGAAAGGGACACATCCCCGGTCACACCTTTATCTCAACCCAGTGAGACTTGTAACCTACACATTTAAAAATAATAAATTTATATTGTCTTAGACTGCCAAGTGGTGGTAACTTGTTACAGTAGCAATGGTAAACTAATACAATCATCTTGGTAGGAACAAATACAGTAATCTTTCATTTATCATCTTTTCATATTTAAAACTCTTTTGAATTAATATACAATATTTTATGTAACAGATAATATGTATTAATGTAAAATAACAAGTTATGGTTAGTTGCATAAAATATATTAATTTTTTGCAAGCAAGGCATCCTCTCTGTGTATTTATTCCTGTGCATGCTATATACCTGTGTGTTTTATCTACACAGGTGCAAGCAATGAAAAAGACTGCAATAATACTGCTAATGACAGCTACATTCCCTGGCTGATGTAAATGAATTGCACTGACTGCAACCTTAGGGTTGGCAATTTGAACCCAGCCAGCAGCACTACAGATAAAAAGATCTGGTGATCTGCTTCTGTATGTAAGGATTACAGCCAAAAAATCTTTATGGAGCAGGTCGTCTCTGAAACACATAGGGTTGCTGTGGTTTGGAATTGATTTAATGGCCAGGGATTTGGCTTGGTTGTGGTTTAATGAGAGCAAGGGAACACTGCATGGTTCAAAATTGCAAAGGGCGTACGCCAGGGATGCATCCTATCTCCATACCTTTTCAAGCTATATGCAGAACAGATTATCCGGGAGGCTGGGCTCTATGAGGAGAAATGTGGGGTCAAGATTGGTGGATGATTTATCAACAATCTGCGTTATGCAGATGACACAACCCTGCTTGCTGAAACTGAGGAGGACCTGAAGCACCTACTGCAGAGGGTCAAGGACTGCAGCCTGCAATATGGATTGAGGCTCAATGTCAAGAAGACAAAGATTCTCACCACTGGACCAATCGGCAGCATCAGGATGGATGGTGAAGAGATTGAGATTGTACACAGCTTTAGTTTGCTTGGCTCCACAGTCAATACTCTTGGCACCAGTAGCCAGGAAATTAAAAGGCACATTGCCATGGGAAAGTCTGCTGTTAGGGACCTCTCCAAAGTACTGAAGAGCAATGGTGTCTCTCTGGAGACCAAGGTGCGTTTGATACAGGCCATGGTCTTCACAATCACTTGTTATGCATCAGAGAGTTGGACAATGACCAAAGAGGATAGAAGGAGAACTGATGCCTTTGAGCTGTGGTGCTGGAGAAGAGTATTGAGAATACCATGGACTGCTAGGAAAACAAACAGATTTGTCCTGGAAAGGGTTAAACCGGGTGGCTCCTTGGAGGCAAGGATTCTGAGGCTCCGTCTAACATACTTTGGACATGTTGTGAGGAGAGACCAGTCCTTGGAGAAGGACATAATGCTTGGGAGGGTGGAGGGACAGCGCAGGAGAGGAAGGCCCTTTATGAGGTGGATTGATTCAGTGACTGGGATAATTTGGATGGGAGTGTCGGAGACAGTGCGATTTGCACAGGACAGAGCAGAGTTTAGGGCTGTTGTACATAGGGTCGCTATGAGTCGCAAGTGACTCGATGGCACATAACAACAACATCTATGAGCCAGACACTGTGCTAAATAGTTCAAGAACATTTTCTCATTTAGTCTTCAAAGTAGTGTAGAGAATGGGTATAATAGTTTGCTGAGTCTCTTACAAGCAGATTTGAAATGCTTGTGCGTTGCCCAGGCAGACAGATAAAGGGCAAGAAAACAGGAACTCTCAATGAAGGCCGGTTTAAGGGACCAGATGAGACAAACACCCCTTTCCACATAAACCAAGTGATTGTTTTGCTTTGTAGAGCTTGGCTCCATCTGAGGTCTCAATTCTGACTCACTTGAGCTTTGCTCATGGGGTTATTTCAGTTGTCCCAACACAACCCAGCTCCCTGACCCATAACTCTTCTTCCCTGACCCCTCATCCGGCCACCCCCCTCCACCCCGCTGTAGACCAGGGTCCACCCCTCGCATACATGCTTTCTGAAGAGCTCCACATGAGGTCCCAAAGCCTGTGGGTCAGCATCTTTCACGAACCAGACCACGTCCTCCACTGTCCAGGTGGAGGGGTTCCTGTTTCTGGGCCGCCTGGTGTTCTGCTCATCGGAAGAAGGGCTTGAGGCTGGATGAATGAGCACAGGGAGGGAGACAGTGAGAAGGTGCATAATAGACCCTGCGTCTGTCTGTCCTCACTTGCTCCTTGGGAATCCTAAGATCCTCAGGTGGCTGGGAAGACTGGGAGCGGCTACCCTTGTCTGTAGGAGCTGAAGATAGCCCTTCTACAGAGGGCGTCATCCCAATCTTATGTACAACTTGCTACTCTCTTGGGTTTAGAAAATGATTTCTTTCAGAAAGTAGGAACTAAACATCTGTAAAATGGCCATGTTGTCTGCCTGGAAGGAGGAATCCTGATCGTACAGTGATTAGTGTTGGACTGCTAACTGAAAGCTTGGTGGTGCTAACCCATCAGCCACTCAGCTCCCATAGAACCCTCTACTTTGACCAACAGGGCCAGAATTGGTCTCAAGGGGCAGCAATTAGTTTTCCTACCTGAACACGTAAGCGTGAAGACTGATTTTAGATCACACCTGGGCAAGAGGGGGAAGGTGGCTCCCTGGCTGCCCCCTTGCTCTCCTGATCATCCCTGTCTGGGTGCACTTGCTCTGGGAAAATACTTCTCTCCAACTTTCACTGGTACTTTTGTTGTCATTGGGTGCCTTTAAACCAGCTCTGATTTCAAACAACTCTTTGCACAGCAGAATAAAACCCTGCTGGACCCCGTGTCATTCTCACAAATCTCTGCTGTGCTTAAGCCTCTTGTGGCTTTTGCCTCTTTAAAAAACAACTTAACATCAAGTTGACAGTGACTCACAGTCCCCCATGGAAAGCCCAGATCCTTCGTGAGCAGCTTGTCCTGCTGCCAGCCAGCTGGAGGTCACCTTCCTTCCTCTCTAACCCTGAGATCCCATTTGCCCTTCCCTCAGGATGTTTCCCACATCCCTCCTTGGATTCCAACGATCTCTGTAACCTCCAATTAGACTTTCACTTCTCCTTCACTGATCCCACCTTTTACTGAGTACCTTCTCTTTGTCTAGTGGATAAGACAAGCAGGAGCCTCTAATTCAGGGTTAATAATCAGTGACTCCGCCATAGCCCAGACTGTGCCCCGAGTCACCCACTGCCATCAGCTCACTACAACTCCTATGGCAACCCTACAGGACAGGGTAAAACTGTCCCATAGGTTTACCAAGGCAGTAAATCTTTATAGAAGCAGATGGCGCTGTCTTTCCCTGGTGTTGTGGCTGTTGGATTAAAATGCCAACCTTCTGGTTAGCAGCTAAGTGCTTTGCCCATAGTGCCACCAGGGCATATTTACATATTTGTCAACATGTGCTTGATAAATGTAAAATGAAGCCGTATGCTTTGCAAAAACAGTATAGGTAACTGACATAAACGATTGTACAGGCAATTTGTAGTCTTATTCTTGTTGTTATGTACCATTGAGTCAGAGTCACCCCATAGTTGACTCTCTCATGGGTTTCCAGAGGTATTAAATCAGATGAGAGGAGATTGCCCATCCTTCTCCCATAAAGCAGCTGGTGGATTAAAATGGAACACCTTTGTGTTGGCAGGGCAATTCCTTGCCATTAAGCCACCAGAACTCCCTTGTCCTATTCTAAGGTGGGAAACAAAATTGAGGTTCTGAGCATGAGGCAACTTCCCTAGAGAAGAATTCTAAATTCAAAGTTGAGAGACACTTCTTTCTTGCTTGCTTGCTACTTTTATTTCAGGCAGAGTAGTTTTCTACCATCCCTTTGTTTTAAAAGTTATTTTTATTTGGCCTTTCCCTTCACTCAACCTACTATGTATCTATTATCTAATTACTAGATAGAATTTTCCTTCTCCTCCCCTCCCTTCTTTGGAAACCATCACAGAATATTTATTTCTACATGAATACTCTTCTTTAGTTTATTTTTTCAAAAATACAGTGGATAAATACAGTATTTGTTATGCCCTTCTTTCAGCATAATGTCTTCCAAGTTCATTTCATTATGCAGTACTTCAGAAATTCTTCCTTAATCCCTAGTTTTACATCGTGTTCCCTCATATACATGTATCATAGTTTGTTTATTCATTCATCTATTAATGGAAACAAAGGTTATTCTTGCTTCTTTGCTATTGTAAATAATGTTGCAGTGAACATGGGTGTGAGTCTATCTCTTCATGCCCAGCTCTTACTACTTCGGAGTGTATACCTAGTAATGGAATTACTGAATCAAATAGTCTTTGTAACTTTTTAAAGAGGTACCATGCCATTTTTCACAGTGATTGCACCACTCCACAGTCTACTAGTACACTCTATAAGAGTTTCCGTTTCTCTACAGCCTCATTAGCATTGGTTGTTTTCTTTTTAAACTTTGCTTTTGTTGATGGAGTAAAATCCTATTTCATTGTTGTTTTGATTTGTATCTCTTTAATGGTTAATGAATGAGACCAGCTGCCCATGTGTTGATTGGCTCTCTGGTTATCTTACTTAATGAGATGTCTGTTCATGTCCTCTGCCCAATTTTTTATTGGATTGTTTGTCTTTCTATCATCTCTTTCATCTCTTCCTTTCAATATGCTTGTGATGTACATGGTGCCACACTGGTGCTGAGGAAAGTACAAGTCTGTGTAAATGCAGAGTGGTTTTGGTTGAGAATTGGATTTCCTTTGAGAATTGGCTTTCTCTTCCTAGCTGAACCTGGAAGGGTCCTATCTGGTGGTTTGGCATGGGTCATTTTGCCGAGAAACTCTGAGGCTAGCCTGGAGCATCTGAATGCTAATGTCTGCTTATTAGAGATGATTTCACTCCATTTAAAGACATCTGCACTCAACATGGGGACAAGGAATCACGGAAATCACATTTGCCTTTGGATCCCGCCCCATCAGAGTGCGGGCGTTAATCAGAGTGATAATAGATGCTCTGATTACAAAGGCTGGAGGTCTTTAGTGCCAAGAATGATTTTAGAGTGATCAGAGCAGAGGTCAAATCGAATTTCCTGTATTTGACAGGAAGAAAAATTAAAACAAAACAAAATCAAACCCCCCCAAACAGACGGATGAACAGGATCATCATAGGAGCCTGAAATCCTTTAAGCAAGGTAGGAGATGGTCATCCCCACAGCCGAGCACAGGACTGGAGGAGGTTCTTGGGGTGACCACCATGGAGGGAAGGAGACAACTGAATAGGCAAAGTGGGCTCTGGTCCTGGCTCCTGGAGCGCTGCGGACATTGTTCACGTTTCCAGGATGAAACAGCTGCAGCTGGAGCCGAGCTCGAGAGCCCTTTGCTGAGGAGGCCTGTTAGTCATACACGACAGAGAGCCGCAGGACGCCGAAGTCACACCTCAAGAGCTGCTCACGATCCAAAGCACATAAACTCGCCCAAAGGAAGAAAAATAGGGCTTCTCAGTGGCAGCTTTCTAAAGGCTTTGCAGTGTCTGTGCTCACAGAGCTAATAAATACACAGCCCCTCCAGCTGCTGCAAAGGTGTCAGGAAGACAGATGGGCTCAGGCGGACACAGCCAGGATAGGAAGCTGTGACAGGTCAACAGGAAGGCAAGATGGATGGGAAGACGCCTTGTACCTAAATAAATGCACAGAGCATGCGCCTCGCTTGCCAAATACCTTTATAAGAAGGAAACATTCTTGAGCACAGAGGATACTGTACCTGGTGGGGTCTAGTCACTGCTGGAGACATGTGAAAAGTGAGACTGTATGTTGAATAAATATATAATCAAATAACAGTTTGTTTTGTTTTCTTAAAGCTGAACTCACATTCACCAAAGATAGAACGATGATGAACCAGTGCTTGAAAGCAATCTTGGACGCTTTTACATCGCAGGCATTTGTCCCATTGCCTGCAAGCCTCTCTTTGTCTGACACCTTCCCATAAACATGTGCATATCTTCCCTAGTGCTTGTTCACAATTCAGGGAAAACTTTTGAGTTCACAACAGAGTCATGTGGAAGAGTGTGAGTAATGAGTCAAGACTGGAACCCGCTATCACTCACCATCCAGCAATGTGATCTTTTCTGTGTTTTGCTGTCAAAGAAGGTGTTTGGAATGATCTCTGGAGTTTTCCTGGTGATGAAAATGATTTAATATTCAGTTGCCAGCTAACAGGTTGGTAGTTTGAGTCCAGCTGGAGGTACCTTGGAAGAAAAGCTGTGTGAACTGCTTCTGGAAGATCAGCCTTTGGGAACTCTATGGAGCATAGTTCCACTCTGACCCCTATCAGTCCACTATGTCACAGTTGACTTGGCTACAAGTGGTTTGGATTTTGGAACTTGGAATGGTCTTCAAGGTCCCTTCTGCCTGACACTATGAGCATTTAAATCATGGGTGGTCTTGAGCAATAGCAAGCACTTCTCATTCATCTGTAACCTCATTAATACATCAGAGCTGTTGGTTCTTCCTGTCTTTGATCACTCTCTAGCATCTCAACTTCTTCATCTATAAATTTGGCAATAGTATCATGCTTCATAAAAACATCAAAAGGATCAAATGCATGGCTCTAGTGTAGAGCCTGGCATCTCAAGGGGAAGTTCGTCGGTCACCAACTGGGAGGGACCCCTCCATGCCCTTCCTCAGGCTGCTGTAAGCCCTTCTCACCTCTGAGCTTCTCCAGGAGCTGAAACTGAGGAGGTGAAGATGGAGTGAAGGGAAGAAGAGGGCAGGTCGTTCTCAGCTCTACAGTGATCTGCTCCTGTAGACTGTAGTATTTTTGAGGAATAAGGCCAGGTAGAGTATGTGAAGTGTCCAGGGTAGCACCCAATCTGCACAAAATCAGACACACTTGAAAAAGTGTTGTTATTTCTATTGATTCTGTTGCAAGAACGTTCAAGACACCATGAGGTGAGAGTAAAGAATTTCATCAAGGCCAGCTGGCCAGCCTATGTGAGAAGAGAGGATGTTTCCAGAAATAGAGACGAAGGGCTTGAAGTCAAGTTGAGCTGTACTCAATTCCTTCTCTGCCACCAGCAATTTGATGTCTGCAGGGGAGCCTCTGGCCATCTGTCCTCCCTGCCAGCCCTCTCCGGCCAGCTCCTGCTTCCCATTCCAGCTGGTGCCATTGTCACTTCTCTGGGAAGCCCTTGCTGATTTTCAAGAGGAGTAATCCCATCTGATTCTTCCTTACTCCATCTGATTGTCTCTAATGTCTACAGTTTTCCCTTAAAGCAACAATCACAGTTGTCATGAAATCTGTGCAATAATTTCTTAATATCTGTATCTCTGAAACTGCAAACTCTAAGCCATCAGAGGTCACACCCATCTGTTGTCAGGGTCCGACCTTGGAGCTGAGACAGGCACCTGGCATACTGTACTTGTAAGTCTCTGATGAGTAGGACTGGAATCTCTTCTAAGTTTCCTCACCTATAAAGAGCCTCACCTGTGGAGATGTAATGATTTCATGAGATGATGTTGTAAAGCATTCAAAGGGAACATTAACCAAAAAGTGTTGTTGCTATTATTCTTACATGTAATTCCACAAATTACTAGACTCACACTTTAAATCCCATTGCCATCAGCTCATATATTTGTTCAGAAAGGTCTGGTTTCCAATTACCCAATGGATCCCAAGCAATCCACTCAATTCCCCTTAATGCCTCTACTTTTCCCCAAATGAATCACCTGGTTTCTGGCCTCCATGCTCTGTGTAGTTCATCTCTCACACACAGTGTGCTGTGTTCAGTCTTAGTTTTTCAGCTGCATTATCTCACTTAATCAGTGTCATACCCCAAAATCCAACTCACTGGAAGCATTTGGGTTGTAATAACAAGGTCAGATTTACTTTGTTTTTTGATTCCAGACCCTGCAGTTCAGACCTAATTATAACTGAGAATTCTACATCAAGCCCTGTTAAAGGTAAAAGTCTGAAACTATAGTCATATGAAACATCTTAATAGCTCTTACTGAGATTATCTGGGCTGAGAGATAGGGCAGAGTGCTCTTATTTTCACATGAGTAGCAGCAAAAACTAGGGAAATGTGTCCTGTGAACACACTCCTTTCATGGAGTCCCTTGGCGGAGGGAGTAGGTATGATTTATCAGGCTAGCAGGAGGCCACGTAAATGCCACGTATGAGAGAAGGCTGAAAGGTCTCTCTGCCATCAGTACCTACCCTCCTGCCTGCATCCTTATGTGGATTTCCAGCTTCTGAGATTTTAAACCTTTTTGATTAGTGCCATGGGAGAAAAGCTCCAGCAAAGGGGCTGGGAGATTCAAATATGAACAAGCCCCCATGAAGTTGAGCCTGATCTCGATGGTGGATCAGGATAGAGTAAGTGCTGGAGGAAATGAACACAGAAAGCGTCACAGGAGGAGCCACGTGGGAGTGCTTCTAATTAGGAGGTGTGTCTACCCAACATATTTGATCTCCTTTGTCTTTTGCAATGTTGCTGTGCTCCAACAGATCCATTTTAACTCTCAGCGACTCCATGTGACCCAGTAGAACTGCCCCATTGCATTTTCTTGGCTTTAATATTTCTGGAAGCAAATCACTAGATCTTTCCCTTCATGAGACAGCTTGGGGATTCCAACCACCAACCTTTCAGGTCACAGTGAGTACTTAACCATTGCACCACTAGAGTTCTGTTCTTTTGTAAGAGTCTAATTTCCACCTTGGGTCATTGTTCCCTACAATCAAAACTTCATTTCCCAGTTCCCCTTCCAGTCAATAGCCCTGTGACTAGGATCTAGGCAATGAGATGTAAACAAAAATGGAAGCCTCTTTAAGACATGGAAGCAGTACCCTCTGTCTCTGCCTCTTTCCCTGAACACTCTCTTTATCTCACTGGTGGAGGGGGGAGGATTAATGACTACTTTTTGTGGCATTTATAATTCCAGTAAGAACTCTGACTCAAAGGAGTCAGTGAATTAAAAAGTTAATGAGGCTACAAAGGGTGAGTACAAGTTTCCTCATCAGTTTCACAAAGACTCAATTGGACCTTCAACTCTGTGCTGTCCAGCAACTTCACTCCAAGGAGGCAGAGGGGTTTTGTGATGTTAAGGATCCCACAGCTCTGGGAAGCCAGGGACACATCTGATTTTCAGAGTATCAGGAAAAAGTCTCTCTAATATTTCTAAATTATGAAAAAGACAACCAATATTCCAGATACAGCTAATGTTTTGCTTGGGGAAGAAGAAAGCAGGTCCTAATGACTTTGGTTGCTCTGGTCTCATCAGTGTTGCCAAGATCAGGAAGTAGGAGTCTGTTCCGGCTCCAAGATCCACAGTGCTGAAACCCTGACGCTTGATGCTGACTTGTAAAGACCATAACTCTGAATGGACTCCAGCCTCCATAACACTTTCATCCACTTCACTGCAGCACATTTTCTTTAGTGGAAAAGATAGAGGTGGCATTACAACCAGTATAAGGGAAATTGTGCTTCCTTTTGATTAGGCCCAGGATCCCTGGTGGTACTATGATTAAAATACTTGAAGGCTAACTGAGAGGATGGCAGTCCAAACTTAACACTGGCTCTTGTGGGAGAAAGTCATAATGGTCTGCTTCTATAGCAATTACAGACATGAAAACTCTATGGTGGAGTTCAATTCATTTTGTGGGATTGCTATGAGTCAGAATCAACTTGATAGCAGCAAGTTTAATTTGGAGTTGATTATGCTTCAACATCTATGCTCTGCAAATGCTTCCACTATGCACAGGAAAACTCTTTACTAAATCTAGGGATCTACTTTATTCTCTTGCAGTTAAGCTCAGCAAAATAATAACTAGCTATGTCAATGGAAGGGGAATAGGGAGTGAAGTGCATCACTTTGGGCTTGGGGTGGTGGTGCATGCTTTTTCACACTCTTGTTCCCTTTCTGCCCATTGGATGCACAGAGCATGGGGGCTACAGAGGCTGTTAGGGCAACAAGTACATGGAGCTTGGCTCCCTCAATAGAGATTCATCTGCCAACTAGGAACGCGCACCTTGGACCTTTGAACAAAATAATACAGTTCTATTGTATTCAAGACGGTGTGTACCAGGTTCATCCTGGAGAGAGTGAAACCAGGCTGTTCCTTGGAGGCAAGGATTCTGAAGCTCCAGCTGACATACTTCGGGCATGGTGCAAGGAGGGCCAGTCTTGGAGAGGGGCATCATGCTTGGAAGGGTAGAGGGACAATGCAAGAGAGATAGATCCTCTATAAGATGGATTAACTCAGTGACTGACTGGGGTAATGGGAGTAGGTGTGTCAGGGACAATAAGGTTGATTCAAGATAGAGCAGGGTTCAGAGCTGTTGCGCACAGGGTTGCTATAAGACACAAGCAACTCTACAGACACAACAACAACTGCCTGAAGTCTACTATTTCTCTGACCTAGCTTAGCCTCATTATACCACACTGTGGATGTTTATGAGTAAAAGGCTGAGACTGACCTTGAGAAATTAAAAAAGTCTACGAGAGAGTTTGTGGAAGCGTCTACTCTTCCCCAGTGGTTCTGTGTTCATAGTCATCCAGCCTTTCCAGGGGTCCAGGAGAGCAAGTGAGGCTAAAGCATGGAGAAGCCAAGGCATGCATTACATTACCACATCTGTTTCCTTCAAGAGAGGTCCCGTTTCTTTTGGGGCTGGAGGCTGGGGGCCTCAGCCCAAATGCCAAGGAGCTTCCAGAGGGCACAAGGCTTGTGCGGCCACTGCTGCTGGTGGTGCCTCCCCCGAGGCGGCTGTCTCCCGAGATCTGCTTCTTGTAGTACAGTGAGGAGGAGGGCTGTACGGAGGCCCTGTGGTTAAAGGCGGAGGCAGAGGAGTCCACTCTGTAGTGGTTCATGCCCGCAGGATTCCCCAGGCACTCTTCGGTGGCGATTGTTTTTGCTAAACAAGGAGACAGTGCAGAGAAGCAGAGATCAGAGAAGAGTTCAAGAGGCACCAGGGGCTCAATCTTGGTAAAGCTTTTCCCTGGAGCACAGTGTTCACTCAGTGGGGAGGGGGGCGTGAGCCAACATGAACCCCACGGTGTGATTCCGAAAGCACATCCCAAGTGATTAAGAATTTCTGTACTTTAAAGTGCAGCATTTCAGTCAGTTGAAACCTATCTGTGAATCACATCTGTAGCCAAGTGGGCTTGTTTTCCGATTTAAGAATAAAGTCCAAACAATTTATGATAGAAAGAGGAAAGAAAACGACTTAGTAACTCTTCCTACTCTTCAGACTCGGCCAGCCCCCTAACAAGATCATGTCTACCTTCACCCCACCCCCTTTCATTTTTTAAAATTTTATTTTATTAATTTTAATGAACATTTA